CTTATTTCTCAGTAGTTTTGAATTCCAGCACCTGGAATTCACAGCACATTGTCTCCAGCCCACACACCAGGGGTGGATTTCAGCAGGTTCTGAGCAGTTCTGGGTAACCGGTAGCGGAAATTTTGAGTAGTTCGGAGAACTGGTAGTAAAAATTCTGACTGGCCCTGCCCCCATCTATTCTTTGTCTCCTAAATCCCAACTGATTGGCAGGAAATGGGGATTTTGCAGTATCCTTCCCCTGCCACACCCATCAAGCCACTCCCACCAAGCCACGCCACGCCCACCAAGCCACACCGACAGAACCGGTAGTAAATATTTTTGAAACCCACCACTGCCACACACCACAGATACAACACCAGCAATATCTAAAAACCTCCAGAAAGTCACACTATTACCTAATAATTTTGACTCTTTATATATATTTTTATCAAACATGCCTGTACCTAGATGTTATAATTAAGTAAGAAACCTCTTGGTGTCCACATGGTTTGAGCAAGTGGGGGAAAAAACCCTTTAATCTTGAAACCGATTTACCATACTGTCCCAATCAAAGCATTTCATTGTGCTGCATAAGATAGATGGGCAATGCCTAAATTGACCAAGAGAAAGAAGAATATATATGTACCTGGAAGCCTGTATTTTATAATACAATGTTTATCATAATCCCCAGCATTGTATATTCACAAATCCATGGGTAGATGATAGATAGATAGATAGATAGATAGATAGATAGATAGATAGATAGATAGATGTAGTTAGGAAATAGATATATGCACGCACACACACACACACACACACACACACACACACATCAATTCAGAGTCCCAAGAGGTCAATTTGAGTTTGTTGACATTCAGTTTTGCTGACAATTTGACACATAATACGGAAAATGTTTGCCCTCAGTGAAGAAGGTTATATATTTGTCTTCAGGGCATGTAATGAGCAACCTTATATTAGATAAAAATGCTTCTTTGCTTAACCTTACTTCTATAGGCTTTACTTTGTAAACAGATATAGGATTGCATTGTAAATTTCTGACATGTATGTGGGATGCGATGGCTCAGTGGCTAAGACACCTAGCTTGTCGATCAAAAGGTCGGCAGTTCAGCGGTTCGAATCCCTAGTGCTGTGTAACGGGGTGAGCTCCCGTTACTTGTTCTAGCTTCTGCCAATCTAGCAGTTCGAAAGCACGTAAAAAATGCAAGTAGAAAAATAGGGACCACCTTTGGTGGAAAGGTAACAGTGTTCCGTGTCTCTTTGGCATTTAGTCATGCCAGCCAAATGACCATGGAGACATCTTCAGACAGCGCTGGCTCTTTGGCTTTGAAACGGAGATGAGCACTGCCCCCTAGAGTTGGAAACGACTAGCACGTATGTGCGAGGGGAACTTTTACCTTTTTGCTGGTATTATTATTTTTTTAATTTTTTAAAAAATGGTTTATTATTATTATTATTATTATTATTATTATTATTATTATTATTATTATTGTTGTTGTTGTTGTTGTTATTAAATTTATATACCGCCCTTCTCCTAGTGGACTCAGGGCGGTGCACAGCCAAAACTAAAATACATAACAATACAAAATTTAAAATTAATTAAAAGAATTATATACTTTGGCCCGAATTAAAACAGTGTGAATTAAAACCCATTAACAAATTAAAACTAAACAATTAATAACCATTAAAAACTAAAAAAGAGGGGCGGGGTTCACGCCAGCCCTGCTTGCTGGAAAAGAAGAGTTTTTAGGGCACGGCGAAAGACCCGAAGATCCGATATCCTTCTTATCTCTGGGGGCAAATCGTTCCAGAGAGCGGGGGCTGCCACAGAGAAGGCCCTCCCCCTGGGGGTCGCCAGCCGACATTGCCTGGCCGACGGCACCCTGAGGAGTGCTGGTCGGTGGGAGGCTATCGGCGGCAGAAGGCGGTCCCGCAAATACCCAGGTCCTATGCCACGGAGCGCTTTAAAGGTGGTAACCAACACCTTGAAGCGCACCCGGAAGACCACTGGAAGCCAATGCAGCTCACGCAGGAGAGGTGTCACATGGGAGCGACCCCTCGCTCCCATAATCCCCCGTGCGGCCCCATTCTGCACCAGTTGGAGCCTCCGGGTACTCCTCAAGGGGAGCCCCATGTAGAGAGCATTGCAGTAGTCCAGGCGGGAAGTGACGAGTGCCTGAGTGACTGTGCGTAAGGAATCCTGATCCAGAAAGGGACGCAACTGGTGAATCAAGCGGACCTGATAAAAAGCCCCCCTGGCCACGGCCGTCATATGCTCTTCTAAAGACAGCCGTGCATCCAGGAGGACGCCCAAGTTGCGAGCCCTATCCGTGGGGGCCAATAACTCACCCCCAATAGCCAGCGATGGCACCAGCTGGCTATATCGGGACACCGGAAGCCACAGCCACTCGGTCTTGGAAGGGTTGAGTCGGAGCCTGTTACTCCCCATCCAGATCCGCACGGCCTCCAGGCACTGGGACATCACTTCAAGGGCATCGTTGGGATGGCCTGGGGTGGAGATGTAGATTATACAAAAAGCAGTTTATATCAAGTCAGGGTAACTATTTCATTAGTAAAATTTCTATTAATGTCTACATATTAAGATCCATGTTTGAAGATCCCATCCATTGGAGATGCACTGAACATAATATGTTTTGCTATATTATCTTGTACAATATAGTACCATTTTTAAAAGGTCCCCTCTATAGAGACTATAGAAATCAGTGGAAGTCTTATTCTGGGTTCTCTCATTCTTGCAGACAAAACTTTTGATGCTCTTGAGCATCTGGCTAATAAGTTTAAGATTCAAGGTGCAGACGAGTCTCATCTGAGAATCTTAAAGAAACTGATGAATATCATCATGGAGGCCCTTTGATTTGAGAAATCATGACGACAGGCATAGCTCCAGATGATTGAAGAAGAGCAAATGTTTTCTTAGTAGTGGAACTGCCATTGTCTTACTTTTATGCTGGTGTTTTATACTGGAGTAGAATGGAATGGAATGGAATGGAATGGAATGGAATGGAATGGAATAGAATAGAATAGAATAGAATAGAATAGAATAGAATAGAATAGAATAGAATAGAATAGAATAGAATAGAATAGAATAGAATAGAATAGAATAACAGATTTGGACGGACCTTGGAGGTCTTCTAGTCCAACCTCCTGCTTAGGCAGGAAACCCTACACCACTTCAGACAAATGGTTATCCAACATCTTCTTAAAAACTTCCAGTGTTGGAGCATTTACAACTTCTGGAGGCAAGTTGTTCCACTGATTAATTGTTCTAACTGTCAGGAAGTTTCTCCTTAGTTCTAAATTTCTTCTCTCCTTGATCAGCTTCCACCCATTGCTTCTTGTTCTACCCTCAGGTGCTTTGGAGAATAACTTGACTCCTTCTTCTTTGTGGCAGCCCCTGAGATATTGGAACACTGCTATCATGTCTCCCCTAGTTCTTCTTTTCATTAAACTAGACATACCTAGTTCCAGCAACTGTTCTTCATATATTTTAGCCTCCAGTCCCTAATCATCTTTGTTGCTCTTCTTAGAGACTCTTTCTAGAGACTCAACATCTTTGTATTGAGCATGTTTGTGTAAGAATTTTACCATGTTTATAATTTGTATTGGAGGAAGGAAAGAGACAATACTATAAGGATAATCAAGGTTTAAGACACCCTCCCTCACCCATGGAAAGAACATACGAGGGAATGGAAGGTTGTAGGCTAGCTGTGTTCTGCCTATGATGAATGAAACATCCCTCAATCCCCAATAGTTGTCGATGTGTTCAACCCAAACTCTATTCAAGGAGCAGGATTTTTTCTTCTTTTTTTCTTAGTTATTTAGACAGACCAATTTATTTAGACAGGTTTCTTTTTTACTCAAGTGAGTACTCAAGGTGAGTGACAGATTAAGAAATGAAAAAAAAATTAAAAGATAAGAGTTTAATTAAGAGTGTAATTAAAGAGTAATTAAAGAGTGATGCAAGAAATGTGTCCTGTGTTCATCCAGTCATTATCCAGAGGATAATGGAGCAACACAGAAATCTGCTCCTACAATGCTCACTGTCAGTAGAGAACATTCTTGCAGATCATAATGGAGGGACAAAATGGTTTTTAAATGAATGCAACATCATAAGGAATGTCAATCACACTGTTGCTGGGAGGGCTGTGCCATACAGCCTTGTAATGTCCATCAAATAGTGATGTGTGTTGCCTGAAAACACCTGAAGCCATTGATAATTTATATAAAAGGGTATCACAAAGGAAGACTTTAAGATCCACTATTGAAAAACACCCACAAAAATACATACACATTCCGCTGCTTTGTAGTTTTACAAAACGAATACGTCCTTGAATATTTTTCATCCACTGATAAATTTTAAAAAATGTTCTATCCATCACTTTGTTTTTTTCCTAATGTATTTGGAAAGGATATTTATTTAATTAAGTTACCATTTCCACCTACTCTCCCTGTTTCATACAGAAGCCTGCATGGCACAAAATCTCATTTTCATTCCTTCTTTCAAGGCACATTTAATGGATTCATATATCCCAACAAGCTAAAATATTGTTTATTTATCTAGACAATTGTGACTTAGTAATGATGCATGTCTCTTCTACAGCAAGTGGTAGAACAATTAATATTGTGACCCTATTCAAGTTTATTTGGGGCTTATTTGTTTGTGGTATTTATTTTCACTGACAGATTAGACAATTTTATTTCTTTGAGCTCTGGATTTGCTGAGGGTTATTCTCCTCTGCATTTCTTTCTTTCAGCTTTCTTGTGCCTCTTAATCCAGTTTCACCATATCTAGGTAGCTTTTCCATCAACTACCAAAGTCTCTTGGTAGTTTGCAGTAAAAAGAGCAAAGCAATTGTTCTTTCAAAGCAGTATGGAATAGGTTTATTGATTATATTCATTCCCACTGCTGCTAAAATGCAGAGAATACAATGATTCAATGTATGGCCTCCTTCCAGTTGGCTCAAGACTGAAAAAGTCACATTCACTGGCCACCCTGTCCGAGCTGTGCTCCAGGATGCACAAAAATCTTCACCTTTACTCCTCACCAAAAAAAAAAAGAAAAGAAAGAGAGAGAGAAAGAAAGTAAGTAAGAAAGTAAGTGCTGGCATCTGAACAAGTATTTCAGATCATATTGTAGGGATTTTGCTGTTTGCAGATATATTTGAGTGTTTTATTAAAAAAAAGTTAATCTGCCTTGTTACTAAGCAATCATTTCTCCTAACCTGTATAAAAAAACTCACTAAGAACTAAGAACATGACATCATGTTATCGGATTTGCTAGCGGTCCCTTTTCCTCATGGTTTTAACCAAGGTGTAGGCTATGACAGCCTGAAATGTATATATTGGGCTGAGGATGGGAAGCTGGCAATACATTCTAAGTATAAATCAGGATGCATTTTAAGGGCATTTCCTCGCTGCTACTAATTCCCCTGATCTGGGTTAGCAAAGCTTTCCTCATCTGTTATATCATGCAAAGGGAAAAGAAAACAAAATAAAGCAAAGCAGATAACTGGCAACTTGTTTGTCCCCATCATCAATCTCATCCTTGCTAGATCAAGCCCACAATGGATCTTAAAACAGCTATGTGGGTGGCTGAAATTCCAGAGCTGAGAGAAGGATAAGGGCAAAAGTTCTTTCCTACAACCTCCACAGAGTTTCATCACTGCAAAAAACGTTGTTCTTCTCAATGTAAGTGACCCCTGAAGCTGAGCTGAAAATAAATCATGATCCCAGATGACAACCCAGATGATATAGGATTATAAAGGCACAGGACTACTTTTCAGTTTGCTTTCTTGTGCTCATTTAAATGCTACCCATTGATCCTTGAGTCTGCAGAAAAGGGTATAGCATTCGCTCTTCCCATTTCCAAATCCTTCACCTGCCTTTATTTTGGTTTACCACTGAATAATACTGCCCTGATTTCATATATGCGGAGTAGATTAAGCAAAGTGATTGGTTAAATTCTCTAGCTTTGTTGCTCTCCCAGTAGTAAGAGTGTATACTTTCCCTTTTTTCTGAATGCCACCAGATGGTAGGAAACCATCCAACAATCACAACAGTAATATAGAGATAAAGCTTGGGGAGATAGTGAGTTTTGACTTGTTCTGCTCAACAGGTGTGAAAAAGCAAAAAAGGATAGATGCCTTTGCCAAATATTATAAAACTACTTGATTCAGCAGGCTTGCAATTTTGACAGATGGCTAGACCAGTGCTTTTCTGCTCTACCATTTTCTCAGGAAAGTATGGGCTTAGTGCTTTTTCAAAATTCTTACATCTGCAAGCCTGCCAATTACTGTTTTGGCCCAGGCGTTTTTCAGATAGGAAGAGGATGATGGTGAGGAGAGAAGAAAGGAGGCATGCTTGGAGTAGCCAATCATCAGAAGGTTGGTCTCACCTCCTGCAAGTCATCTGACCGTGCCACCAACATAACTGTTAAAAAGGTTCCAGATTTTAGACACCTTGAAATTGTCCTATGTTGCTATTGACTTAAAGAAAAGGAAAAAAAAAACATTAACATGGAACATATAAGGGCAATTCAAGCCTACTTCATTCATAGGATAAACACCATATAAAGAAAACAGTTGAAGTCTACCATGATGTCTTTGTCCAGTGGTCAACTGCAAGTAGCAAAGTCCCTTAACTGCAAAATACATTTGCTTAAAATCTCTGTAAAGTACTTAAAAATTGAAGCTACTTCAATGATTCAGTTATGGAATCATTGATTGGCTTTATATGAAAAGAGAAAAATGACCAAGTAAAATCTATTCTATAAATGAGAAATTAATGCAGATATATTAAAGCTGTGAACAGTTACTTCCATGTATAAAGTCTTGGACCTTTTTGGGTAACCAAGTAAATACATTAAATCTTTTAGCTTTGCAGGCTATTGATGAGGTATTAATAATGTTAAGACCCTCCCATTCTTCCTCAGTTCCTTCCAAAATGTGGCAAGTTGAACATATGGGAGGGTATCTATTTTATTTCCATTTATATAAAACTGTCTCTTACTTTATAATGAGATATATCAACATGGTTTAGTTTATGAACCTTAACGGACCTTAAAAAGATGTTTTCTGGCTCTTCTTTGAAAAGTTTTGCTGTTTCCTGGGTTACCTTGAGACTTTGATATCTTCAATATCAGCCCAATGATTTCTTACATTATCATTTTAACACAGACCAAAAGTCTTCTTTTTAGCTTTTATATAACCCACTTAGCAGAAAATCAAAAGTGGAAGAAAAAGATTTTTAAAAAAAGGTTAAGATGGAGAAGGGTTTCAGCAAAGAGGTTCAGAGAGAAGAGAAGAAGAAACTGCATCACGATTGGATGCTGAACATTCAAGGTCCATCCGTCAGGGACAGTGAAAGAAAGGGACATGGATCAACAGGGATGGAGAGAATGCTGAATTGAGCCCAGCCATGAAATGCACTTGCAAACCTATCTATGTTCTGACCTAGGCTTCCTGGGAAAGTATATAGCACAAACGTAGTCCCCCAAAAGAACTCTTTTATTGAGACGGCTATGAATTATGGTCATTCACAGCCCGTAATGATTCATAAACAGTCTGTGCAGATTCCGACAGATGTCTGCTCGAGTTGACACAGTCGTTCAGGGTAATGTTGATAAGCACCCATCTTTATCTCCTTTGAAACGCTGCCAGAGACCTAATTGCCAATTAGTTTTGCAAGGCCACACGTAGCACAGAGTCAAACAGGACTTCTCAGAGCTTGAACCGACTATATGAACTAATTGCTTCCTGCAAAGGCTCACGTCCATTTGCTCCTCTTTTATATCTAATGGGAGGGGCCAATCAACTCCAAGCCTTACTCCCAAGTCACCCTTTTTTTCCTTAATTGTTCTTGCCTTCTGGCAGCTCTGTGCATGCGCACACTAGGAACAGGCTCACACTGTTCTTCTGCCTCACTGATGTCAGATTCTGGAGGCTCCGGAGGCAGCACATAACTACCAGATGGCCCTGGCCCCCTCTCTGCCTCTGATGCAGACCCCTCATCTGAGCCTTCCCCAGACTCTAGGACTGGCCCAAGTTCCTCCCCAACCTCCTCACTGTCTGACTCTGCTGCCAGCTCCTCTGGCTGCCCGATGGGCCACAACAATCTGTTACACTCAATACTGAAAGAAAAACAATATTCTTTGATCATGTCCCTCTCTTTCACTGTCCCTGATTTCAGGACCTGGAGTGTTTAGCATCTATCTTGATGCACTTCTTTTGCTCACCATCTTAACTTTTTTTTTCCCCTTCCATTTTCGACTTCCTTCTAAGTATGCTGTATAAAAGCTGAAAAGAAGACTTTTACTCTTTGGTAAAATGATGATGTAAGAAATCACTTGCTGATATTAGGTAGAGCAGGGCTGTCAAACTCCCGGCCCATGGGCTGGATGCGTCACATGCTGGCCACGCCCCCGACCAGTAGCAAAGGGGGGGGAAAGTCCCGATATGTCACATGACACCGCCATGACGACGTGAGTTTGACACTCCTGAGGTAGAGTCTATCTTTCGGTAATACCCAAATTTCCTGGAGGGCATTTTTCAAGGTTTTTTCTAAAGCAACAGAGGTAGTTTGACCACAATTGATCCCAAAATTTATACTGCTAAGTGAGACATTTGTTGAGTGAAATTTACCCCATTTTATGACCTTTCTTGCCACAGTGGTTAAGCGAATCTTTACAGTTATTAAGTGAGTAACATGGTTCTTAAGTGAATCTTAAGCTTCCCCACTGACTTTGCTTGTCAGAAAGTTGCAAAAGGTGATCACATGACCCCAGGGCACTGCAACTGTCATAAATATAAGTCAAGTGTCTGGATTTTGATCAAATGAACATAGAGATGCTGCAATGTTTGTAAGTGTGAAAAATGGTCATAAATCACCTTCTTCAGTGATGAAACTTTGGTCACTAAAGGAACTGTTGTAAGTTGAGGACTACCTGTATAAATTCTAGAGCAGGGATCTCCAATCTTGGCAACTTTAAAACTTGTGGACTTCAACTCCCACAATTCCTCAGCCAGCTAAGCTCTAGAGCCTGATAAATACCTTCACTTTCATTTGGACCTTCCTTTCATTTATTCCAGGCAATGTTGCATTGGTCACTTGACACTTTAAACTCTGTTAAATTGCCTGCAACAGCCTGGAAAGACTAGCTGTATTCAGGTATCTGACTCATACTGGCCTGATGCCTTTTCATTCCCTGACCATTAAACTTTCAGGAGAACACATGTTTCATCCTAAGCCTTGTTTTATTAAAGTCCTTTGTCACATAGGGAGGTGTAATCATATTCAGGCCAACAGAAGAAGTCAGGCTATGCATGTTTCAGAAATGAATTGTAACAAGTATTTCAGGAAAGTTTGAATTTGTTCCTTGAACAAATTGACTCCTGGGGGCAGGACCAGTCAAAATTTCTGCTACCGGTTCCCCAGAACTGGTCAGAACTGCTGAAACCCACCTCTGCCTCTAGTCCAGCTCCCTGCTCAAGCAGGAGAATCTATACTATTTCAGATAAGTGACTAGACTCTTCTTAAAAACATTCAATGATGGAGCGCCCACAATTTCTGGAGCCAAGCTGTTCCACTGGTGAATTGTCCTCACTGTTAGGAAGTTTCTCCTTAATTACAGGTTGCTTCTCTCTTTGATTAGTTTCCAACCATTGTTTCTTGTCCTGCCGTTTGGTGCTTTGGAAAATAATTTGACCGCCTCTTCTTTGTGGCAGACCCTCAAGTACTGGAATACTGCTATCATGTCACCCTAATTCTTCTTTTCTTTAGACTAGCCAAACCCAAATCCTGCAGCCTTTCTTCATAAGCTTTAGTCTCCAGGCAACTTAGTTGCTCTTCTCTGAACTTTTGTAGTATGGTGACCAAAATTGGTTGCAGCATTCCAGGTGTGGTCTTACTAGGGTTTTATAAAGTGGTAGTAATATTTCATGTGATCTTGATTTTTTGCCTCTGTTTATACAATCCAGGATTGTATTAGCTTTTTTGGCTGCTGCTGAACATAGAGGTATTTTATGCATGTGATGTCCAAATAACTTTCCAAATCATTTTTGAAACATGCCAAGCTTTGTATTTTCACTATAGATCTTCAGTTAAACGCATGGATATCAGGAGAAAAGGGAACAAAAGTACATACCTGTCCTCGTTTCTACCCTGGTTTTGGTGCCGAATAACCAAACAGGGATACTGTGTTACACAGGAAGAGCATACTAGTGGTAGCATGCTAATTTTGCTTGGTATGTACCTATGTGTATTGAGCATATTACAGAACAGGCAAATCAATAATATATAATCCAATATAAACCATAAAACAGTTGAAACCTGAGTGGCTTCTATATGAGATTATACAAAATACTAGAACTGGGGTGTCCAACTCAAGGTCCGGGGGCTGGATCCGCCCCACGGTGTGCTTAGATCTGGCCTGCGGGACCGCTCTGCAAACTGGGAGGACTGGGCTGCAGTGCTTCTACCAGCAAAAACGGAGTTCAGGAGAACCACATGCAGCCCCCCCCCCCCCCTCTGAGCTCCGTTTTCACTGGCAGAGGGTTGCAGGAGGCCATCGCAGCCAAAAATGGAGCTCAGGAGCCCATTTTTGCTGGCAGTGCACTTGGCGCCATCACAGGCACCGACACGAGTGATGTCGAGCTGGCCATGTCCACCCTGGCTACGTCCATCCCAGCCCCCCGAGGTCAAACACAACCCTGATGTGGCCCTCAATGAAATCAAGTTTGACACCCCCTGTACTAGAAGGTTAAGGCTATTTACTGTCTCTCTTCCTAAGGGCATTGTATCACTATGATGTACCACTATGTATACATCTTAATTAACCTTAAACTGAACCCTGTTACAAAAAGTCTGCCTTTGAAAAATGTGATCCCCTCTTTTTCCTCTGCAAAGAGTAAGGATTTTCCCGAAAAGTCATGGAGGCAAAAGGGGTTACCTTTTCTTTTAAGAGGTGAACAGGGAAAAGATTGCCTATTCTTTTAAAACAAAAATCAAAACTTTTGCATACTTGCTTGCAGGGACAGCTGCTTCTTGCAGTCCCCCCCCACCCCCAGAAAAGATCAGACAACCACACATCATAGTTGACTGATCAACTTCTGAAGAAACCGCAAGGAGGAAGATCGCCCTGGGCTATTGGAGGAGAACCATGGAGAGCTTTTATAAAAAACAGGTAGCCCTCCCAATCAGGATCTTCGGGAAGATAAGGTGACTTCTATCCTGTCCTCAAAATATGTTGTCACTTCTCTCATATCTGTGGGCTGCCCCTTTAATTTGCCCCCAAACTTTACAGTTGGATGGATTAAAAGAGAGCAAACAGCATGTATTCTTAATGCCAGCTGAGCACAAATGGAAGCCTGCTTCAGTTCTCATATTCTGCTTGTGGACTTTCCAGAGCAGGGGTCTCCAATCTTGGCAATTTCAACTCTGGGAGTTGAAGTCCATAAGTCTTAAAGTTGCCAAGGTTGGAGACCCCGGTTCCAGAGGACTTTCCAGTGGACTTGGCCTTAGTGGAAAACAGGATGTTGGATCTTGATCTTATCCAAAAGGGCTAATGAGCAGTTATTTGTTTTAATCCAGTAAGGTTCTTGTATTTTTTTGGACCATGGGCACTGCACTAAAATGTCCGTAATAAAAAGTACATGGATCTAATGGGCCATGAATTAAAATGCTCTTTCAAAAAGATGCAGAAGTCAGTAGAAAATGGTGTCTATGGCAGGTCACAGATTAATTTCTCACCACTGGATTTCAGATCTGGAAAGACCCTTGCATTCCCTAGCCTTCTTTTAAACTGCCCTTAGCCATTCTTTCTTTCTTTCTTTCTTTCTTTCTTTCTTTCTTTCTTTCTTTCTTTCTTTCTTTCTTTCTTATTTATTTATTTATTTATTTATTTATTAGAAAAGCATTTTTTTTTTTTTGCAGAACATCACCTGTAATATTTTGCCTTGACGATCACATGCCACTAAGGAAATTTCATTGTTCTGCTGCCTTATTTTTTTTACCCTGAGCCATCTCAAAAAAGAAAACACAATGTAATTAAGTGATTGATCTCTTGAAAACAATGTTTAATAACAGACACCAACAATGTGAAAGTAATTCTAGGTTTCTGAACATCATTCTTGAGTTAATTTTGCTTGAACCATTTGTACACAGGCAAGGATATCTCAGTGCATATGGGTTCCTACCAAGGGATCAACTTCTACTCTCTTTTATTGTGAGTAAAATGGGGAGTAAATTCCCAGGATTTATATTGTTCCACATCAAGCCTTGAAATGAATCAAGTATCCTTTTACAAAATTTAAGAAGGAGAGAAAATTGATTTATTTGGCAGAGCAGTAAAAATGTGTTTTGGAAAGAAAATTACAAGGGGATGTTTAGTTTATGTTTTCTGTTGTAGGAGATAATATCTTTCCTATTTAATTTATTGCATTTTGATCATACATTTCATCCAAGGAATATCCCATAGCATCAAGTATTTAAAATGTTTGTATGCTATCTCCATTTTTATCCTGACAACAGCAAACCTTTTGAAGTAGAGGCTGCAAAAAGCATCGGATGTGGATCAGCCAGGGCACTTTAGAGCTAAGTAAAGATTTGAACATGTCAGCTTATTTTACACCCAATTCTCTATTTGCTGGTCAGCTGCTTAACCCTCTTTTTAAAGGTAGATGAATCAATATATTCATGCACAACTAACAGTTGCAGCCAATTTTGTTCCAGCCAATGACTGAGTGGAGGCAAGGGGTGGTCACTAAATTCACCACATTGAGCAGAAATCCATTGGATTGGGTGAACAGATTCCATCCCACAAACTACTTTCATTTACAGGAATTGAAGGGGGTAAGCAAAATGGGCTGTGTGCCCATTATGTAGGCTTGCAGCTAAAAGTTCTCCTGGAGAAAGACCAGTTCTGTAGCCTGCCTTATAACCTTTAGCCCTCCTGGGCAAGAAAGAAGAACCCTGACATGTACACAACTCCCTCTGAACTTTACTTTCATATTGAGAGGCTGAACTTTGGAGCTCTCCACCAAAGCAAAAGCAACATCTATTTTTAATAGGGGAGGAGGCAACTGATACAACTTCCCAATGAATGATTTATAGCCAAAGCTGTATGTGCCATAATAACATTCAAGCAGCAGCTAAGAAATAGGTAAGAAATGGGGGCAGAGGGGAAGACTGAGAGATTGGGAGAGGAAAAGTATAGAAGTCACCTCAGAACAGAAGTAGTGGAGAAAAGGAAAAACACCTGAGTATCTATACCAAAGCCATCTGAAAGATGGGAGATGGAGGAGGATGAGTGAATGAAATCTTTCAGGATTAACCGGTCTTTTAGGTGAACATTGATTAGAGGTTTATGCCTTACATCAAACCGGGAAATGAATTCTATTTTATTCACACACTCTTGTGTTTAAGGTTGGCAGAAAGATTTCATTCATAACAGCCATCTTAGGTCAACAGATAAACTAGGGATGTATGTGCTTTATTAGCTACTATGCTTGAGGAGAAGGTGGTAGTTGTGGCTATTATGACCTTTGCTCAACTTCATGTTGTATGCCAGTTATACCCCTTCCTGGATTGGGAGGCCCTTCTCTTGGTCATTCTTGCCCTCATCATCTCCCATATGCACTTTTCAAGAGCTTCCCCTGGAACTACAGATGGAGCAGAATGTGGCTATGCAAGCAATTTTGGATGTCCCAAGGACGTCATAGGTGACACCTTTGCTACATTAGCTGCATTGAGTGCCAGTTTGTTTCCAGTTGGAGCCATGGAGTTAAGTTGCCTGAAGAACCACCTTACCCCTATTATATCAACCCATCCCATCCAGTCAGACAGAGAAGGTATGTTACAGACCCTATAAATTAAGAAATTTCACCTGATGGGGTACAGGAAGAGAACCTTCTCTGTTATTGCCCCTACCCTCTGGAATATTGTTCCCCAAAAAGTGAGCTCAGCCTCCACTCTCCTAGCCTTTTGGAAGGATGTAAAGATCTGGCTTTGTCAAGTTGCATGGGACTCATAATGTGGCATTCAACTCTGGGGGTAGTAAGCATTTTGAAGGTGCTCTCTATGTCTTTAACTTTTAATTTATATTATCTGAGGCTTTACTTGGCTCCCATTTTACTGATATACTGTGTTTTTATATGCTTTTTAAAAATGCTTTTAGCTGCAAACCATCCAAAGTCCTCGGAGAGTGAGAAGGGCAGTATCTAAATTTGATAACTATATTTGATAAATAAATGAATAAATAAACATACCTTAAATAAGCAAGAGAATAAACATCCTCAACTCATTTTGGGTCAATGTTAGCAGGAACAGAATTATTCAGTTCCTATTTTAATTTTGAAAGAGTAATAGTGAAACATTAAGAAAATTCTACATATGGTTGAATAAACAGGAGATTAATATACAATTTGATATACAGCATGAAAATTAGATTAATTGTTTGGACCTAAGGTTGTTCAAGCAAAACAAGTTTGAAAAAAAACTTGGGGGGAAGTGGGGAAAGTTCTAGCTTCTTTCTGGGCTACTGATTGATATAGCAAACATACCACATTGGTTGTCATGGAGAAAATCTATCTATATAATTGTTAAGGGTTGACCCCCAACTTGATGGCACATAATCAATCAATCAACCAACCCACACCAAATTTAAAGCAATTTCTCTGCTTGCTGGGGGTGATGTGAGGAGCACCACATCTCTAATTGTTGTCCTGTAGAAGTTTTCAATAATTGCCATTAGGACAGGGTTTAAGAATCATACAATTGTCCCTTCCTTAGAAGTAGATTTTCAAGTACAAAGTAATCTTCCAAAACAACATTTGTTAAGCAGAGGATGGTAATGACACTGGTGAATGGTAGCCTGAAAAATCAAATAGAAGATCAGATGAAGGACTCCTGGTAAAGTGAAGTTGAAAACAGAGTGTTCACATTACATGTATAATGTCAGCCCCAAGATGTAGATCAGGAAATCACCTCCATGTTAAAACTAAAATTGCTTTTACAGGTAGTCCTTGATTTACAGCAGTTCATTTAGTGACCATTCAAAGTTACAACGGCACTGAAAAAAGTTACCATTTTTCACACTAATAACTGTCGCAGCATCCCCATGGTCATGTGATCAGAATTCAAACGCTTGGCAACTGACTCATATTTATGACAGCTGCAATGTTCCCAGGTCATGTGATCATCTTTTGCAACTTTCTGACAAGCAAAGTCAGTGGGGAAGCCAGATTCACTTACAACCGTGTTACTCACTTAATAAGTGTAGAGATTCAGTTAATAATTCTGGCAAGAAAGATCATAAAATGGGACAAAACTCACTTAACAAATGTCTCAGTTAGCAACAGAAATTTTGGGCTCAATTGTGGTCATATGTCGAGGACTACCTGCATTAAGATTGGTTATAATAACAGAATTTTGCATGTCTAATTATGCTGTAGCTCCTTCCTCTCTTATGTGAATTAGGGAGGTCTGAAACTTTTGTATTCCTCCTTCGTTGTTTGGGCTTAAGCTCATTGCCTTGGTAACAGATCTCCACTCTCTTCCACAAGGTCATCCTTTGCAATTTCTACATATATTTACATTTTAGCATACAATGGATGTATTATAAACCATCATAAAAATGACTGGGGTCTGCTTAGAAATACACCAGGTTATAATACACTGTCACATTTTGCACAGGAAAACTAAGAATAGGAAGGGTATGCTTTTTAGAAGTGATTTAGACAGAAGAGATGAAAATATTGTCTCATCACAGAACTATTTGTACCTATTTGCAAATGTTACATGTAAATCAAGTTTTTTTTCACCAATCCACTGGCAAGACATTACTTAACCAGGTCTCTACATACATCATTCAATGTCCATGTCCCAAAATTTATGAGGCTAAGAGTATTTAGAGCCCTAAAAGTCAAGATTAAGAAAGAGTTTAAAATTATTGAAGGTCAGAAAATAAATAATAATAATAATAATAATAATAATAATAATAATAATAATAATAATAATAATTAATATTAATAATATTAATATTTAATAAAATATTTTTTGGAGATACAGTATACTAGATTTCCAAACAACAATTGTGGCCTCTAAAATAAAATATTAGAATAATAATGAAACATCTTTATTAAGAAAGATTTTGTCATTTAACGGTTTAATCTCCAAGTAGTAAAATGAAGACATTCAGTATTTATTATTATTTTGATTCTTAGATATTGCAATTGTTTTTCTTCTCTCCTGCCCCCTTTTTCTGAACTATTGATTAGAAAATGCCATTTACTCTTTTTTCAAGCTTATTTTCTTTCCAGACAGATATGTAAAGCTTGTTTTCTTTAAAAACTCAATGGTTTCCCAAAGAAAAATCACCCATCATCAATGTTGGAAATTAACACAGTTGTTCTGTTTTGCTAGTGACTTCTAATCTTGATGTTTTAGCTACTAAGCACAGGTAAGATAAATATATTGTTTAAAATAAGTGTTCTTTTCCTCTGCCCATATTCCTAATAGTTAAAAAGGGTATTTTTGAATGCCCTATTAGAGAATTTGTGAGTTTATTTTGTTTTATATGAGAATATAAAATGTTGAAAACTAAAAAGTGATTAAAGTCAAGCTGAGCTAGGTTAACAATAACATGGATATAATTAATTAAACCTTTTCTTCCCTTAGAATGGAAATTTTTCATTTGTGCAAAAGGTTGTTCTTTTGTGTTTATTTCAGGTTATTTGATGTGCTTATTTGTTTCAATGTTTTAGACATAAATTAAGAAGAGTCATAAGGAATAAGCTTTGTTTTGTAGATATAAAGAAATTGTCTCAAATATGCTTTGGCTTCTATAGAATAATTTATTTACTCCAGGCATCTGAGATATTCCCACACCCCTTTTTCTTTATTTTTTTTCCTTTTTATTTAAAGGAGGAAACAGCAGGTGGCATTGTAACACACAACTTCTGTTCCTCTGTTCTTTTAGGAAACAGTTTTTTATTTACCTATAAAGCAGTTTAGAGTTACTATATATGTAGAGATAAAACAGAATTTTGGAGAATATCTATATATCTATATCATGTAAATTTGTATCTGTATCATCTATATTGATATATGGATGATATATATCTATATATAGATATCTATAACTATATATGGATGATCAAAGGCCTCGAGACTAAAACATATGAAGAACGACTGCAGGATTTGGGTTTGGCTAGTCTAGAGAAGAGAAGAATTAGGGATGACCTGATAGAAGTATTCCAATATTTGACGGGCTGCCACAAAGAAGAGGGGGTCAAATTATTTTTCAAAGCACCAGAGGGCAGGACAAGAAATAATGGTTGGAAACTAATCAAGGAGTGAAGCAACCTGGAAGTAAGGAGAAACTTTCTAATAGTGAGAACAATTAATCAGTGGAACAGCTTAACTTCAGAAATCATGGGCGTTTCATCACTGGAGGTTTTTAAGAAGAGACTGGACAGCTACTTGCCTGAAATGATATAGGTTCTCCTGCTTGAGCATGGGGCTGGATTAGAAGACTTTCAAGTCCCTTCCAGCGCTGATCTGTTCTGTTCTGTTGTATTCATATCATCTATATCATCTATATCCATATTTTTTTAATTTTTTTTATTTTTTTTTAATTGGATTTATATGTCGCCCTTCTCCGGAGACTCAGGGCGGTTTACAATGTGTTAAGCAATAGCCTTCATACTTTTGTATATTTATACAAAGTCAGCTTATTGTCCCCACAAACTGGGCCCTCAATTTACCTACCTTAGAAAGGATGGAAGGCTGAGTCAACCTTGAGCCTGGGGAGATTCGAACTTGCAGTAATTGAGGGCAGCTGAATGTTAATAACAGGCTATTAGTCTGCTGCACCATCAGGCTCTTCATATCTATTATCTATCTATCTATCTATCTATCTATCTATCTATCTATCTATCTATCTACCTACCTACCTACCTACCTATCTATCTATCTATCTATTCATCCATCCACCCACCCACCCATCAATCCATCCATCCGTCTATCTATCTGTCTATCTATCTATCTATCTATCTATCTATCTATCTATCTATCTATCTATTGCAGATATACATTCATACACATATATTTATATAGACAAAAGAGATTATTTAAAAAAAATATCATTAGATTTCATTCAGATTTGTTCTCCAAGCTTTCCTTACTTAGCAGTAGCAGAGATCATAGAGGTAGCCAGGAAAACAGACTTTCTGACAAGTGAATGAATTTACTATGTCAGCCCCCCTAGGGAAATTAGTGTTGGTCTCCAAAGTTAGTGTAACTGTCTCAGAGATTTCAGGGTGGGTGACTTTAACTCAATGCGAACATTTAGCCTTGAAGATGGAGAGCTAATTGACTCAGAAACCCCAGTTAACTGTGGGATGGATCAAAGCAATTAAAAGTTATTATGAGAAGATAGGTGTTACGGGCTAGGGATGTGAATGAATTCTGCTACAAAATCTGGTGGAAAGAAACATATTCAGAACTCACTTTATCTTGCTGGAGGAATGATACAGAACGAAGCAAGCCTGGTCGAAGTTCATCTTTGCCATTTAAATGTCTGCAGGAGTGGGGAAAAGTACTGCAACAGACTTAAATCTCCTGATCCATGTCCTGTCTTCAGCAGTTTCCAGGAATTCCCATGACCTGTAAATTCAGATTATCTCTTGGAAAAGAAAATGACGATCCTTTGACTTTGAAAGTAAATAAAACTGCAAACTAGTCTGATAGATTTTCTTTCTTTTTTCTTAGCATTAAAAAATGTTTTTAAAAATCACTGGCTCAAATATTGCCTCACTGAAACAGATAGTAAAATGAAGTAGATGATTTAGGTGAGGGAATAGATGGGGAACTCATCAAATTTGCAGACAACACCAAGCTGGCACAATAGCCAATACTCCAGTTACAGAAGGATCTTGACAGACTTGAACATTGGGCGCTATCTACCAAAATGAAATTCAATATTGAAAAAAAACAAGGTTCTACATTTAAGAAAGAAAAACCAAATGCACAGGTATAGTATAGGTGATACCTGGCTCAATAGTAGTAACCATGAGAGGGATCTTGGAGTCCTAGTGGACAACCACTTAAATATGTCAAAAAAGCCAACACAGTCCTAGGCTGCATTAACAGACAGATAGAATCAAGATTACGTGAAGTGTTAGTACCACTTTATAATGGTTTGGTAAGACCACACTTGGAGTACTGCATACAGTTTTGGTCACCACGATATAAAAAAAGGCGTTGAGGCTCTGGAAACAGTGTAGAGAAGAGCAACAAAAGTGATTAGGGGACTTGAAGCAAAAACATACAAAGAAC